CTTTGAGCCCAGCGTTTCAGCCAGCTATCAGTCCACTCCACCGTCCACTTATTTAGTCTGTTCTTCCTCTGTTTTTCTGTGACGATATTTGAGAGACAGTGTCAAAAGCCTTGCTGAAGTCAACATAAACAACATCCCTTGCTCTCCCCTCATCCAACAAGTCCACCTCATCATAGAAGGCTATCAGGCTGGGTAAACGTGTTTTCCCCTTCATAAACCTATATGTCTACTCGCAATCACCTTCTTGTCCTTCATATATTTAGAGGTGGTTCCCAGGATTATTTGGTCCATCACCTTCCCAGGGATCAAGATCAGGCTGACGAGCCTGTGGTTCCTTGGATCTTCCCTCTTCTTGAACATAGGAGTGACAAAAGGAAGCAATGCTGTAGGAATAAAGTACTTTCTTTAATGGGCAGCTTGTCCGTAGCTCATCTATATTTTTGTGGAAAAGGGTGAAAACAAGTGGCTGAACAGAAGCAGCCAGCTTTCATGGAGGCATAACAATGTCACTACTGTTTTGCACGCCCAAAATGTTCATTGTACAGTGTGATCACGTGGTTAGAAAAGGCAGCCTTGGAAACAGCCCCACAATTAGCAAAGAGAGTTTCCTCAGTTTGCACTTGCAGTTCCTGGATTTCTCTCCAAATCCTTGGATAACTGGACGTCAAAACAAAACAAGCCCCTCCTCCATCCCCCCTGTTATTAGTAATTAATTATTTAAGTATTACTAAGTTGCCAGAAAAGGCTAGAGTTAGCTGGGTTAGGTGTAGCCTGGTGACAGCATTAAGAGCTGCAGGGTGCTGTTTATTATTCAGGGAGCCCTGCTGATGTGCCTGGCTCTGCGGTCAGCAGGGGCAGAAGACGGGGAGCTCCTGCTCCCTGAGGTCTGCAGGGCTGAGCCTTGGGCTGCTGGCACGAGCAAGGCCTGCGCACTGGGCAGGGGTTCACAGGCTCAGGCCACCCTGCTTGTCCGCTAAATGTGACTGTCAGTCAGAAGCACTAGGTAATTTCTGAGCTAGTAGTCGCAATTTAGTACTGCTCCTTTGGTATTTGGCAGGATCCAAAACTGCTTTTGTGGCATCTCCTCCAAAAGAGGAACTCCTCAAAGCCATCGTGATACTCCTGTCTTGTGTACAAAGGGAAGCAGAGATTTGTAAAAGACAAAAAAGGCTTGTTCGATCATGATTACTTTTGTGTAGCCATCCAAAACCATGATTGCCTCCACAGAATGTTTAATATAAGAGGACTGTGGCAAAGTTAAGCTTTTGCTGAAAATAGAGAGTAAATGTATTTTGATAAACAGGCTGTTGGGGCAGTAATAGCTTTTGTGGAAGCCAAAAAAGGTAGATGGTGTGATTTGAAAGTTAAGCTTTAATGCAGAAGAGCCTCCAAGAAGCCCCCTCCAGCCTTATTTTTCAGGAAGTCTAAACACTCGGGGCTTTCTCCAGAGTATGGTATTTCTCTAATATCATACGCTGCAAAATCCCTGTGTATCTCTTGTTCCAGGCTACCTGCCTCAGAATCCCCCGTGGCCAAATTTTGCTCCCTGTTAATGCTGGTGTAAAGAGTTCTGGTATGTTACTGTACAGAAGTGGAGAAGAGGATCTGCTCCCTTTCTCTTTCCCTTTGTCTGCCTCTGTGCTGCAGTGCGTGCATGCATGTGGCAGCGTGGTGTCCTGTGATTATGCACATTCTGAACTTTCTCAGCCACGTGCGGTAAAGTGGCTTCACACACTAACCAGCTGCTCCCAACCAGAAGGAGATTTACAGGGTTTCATTCTGAATGTGAAGAGCGGCGTCACTGCTAGTGGCACTTTCAGCTGCTGTAGCACCCTTTGTAGGATGAGCTTGTGTTTGAGCCTTCCTTAAACTCCCTAAGGGCAGGTGGGTGTTTCAGAGCGCATTTTACAGATGGTGCATTTTGATTTGAGGTGAGGCGAGAGCCTTGGATGAGATGCAGCCTGCAAGCTTGTGGCTCGTTGTGAGACATCGATATATTGAAAGCATTACTGCCTAGTTTTGTCATATGCCTGGCAGCAACCAGAAGAAGCCCCACACAGAATTAGGACTTCTTGTTTAAACAAGTTCACTCTATGAGATAGTACCTGAGGGGGGAAAAATACAGCTTGTGATCTTGAGCGAGAGGGGACCTGTCAAAGAGAGACTAATGGACTTGGTGGAGGCCACACAGTAGGTAAGTGGCAGAACTGGAAACAGACTGCGAATCTCTTGAGGCGCATCCTGGTGCTGGGTTGCTAAATCGCAATCGTTTTGATTAAGTGCCTCTTCCGCTTCTGACTGCCCCTTTCCCAGGCCCATTGTCGATGGATGTTTCAGCTTATTTATTTTATTCTTCCTTTCTTGTTACAAGAAAGGAATGGAGAACCATCTTTTGCTTCTCTGGCTTCATCTTGGAAGCATCTGTCACCTGTTTTAGAGAAGGAAGTTCCCCTTCTTCTGTTTTCCTACTTTAAATGAAACATTTTCCTGTAGGATGTGGGTACACTGCAAGTGGACACTGCGGGGCAGTCACAGCCCCAGCCTGACCAGGGGGGTTGCACCCACGTGGTGTGGTGTAGGAAGCTGGCACACGAGGCAGAGCTTTGCAAAACCACTGTATGCTCCGGGGCACCAGCCTCCGATACCATTCACTCTGCCTCGCCTGTGTGTATCTGTTATCACAAGCCAGCTCTGTCTCAGTGTGATCATCGATGTGCAATACTGGATTTTTACTCTCTTCCTTCCAGTGCTGACTAGAGTCAGTCCAAACCCAAGCCAGAGAGTGCTCCAGCTCATGCTTCTACAGGAAAACGTTAGTGTTGGTGCAGAGAAGAAAAGGTCCTCCTCTGCCCTCAACTCAGTTGTCAGTCCCACAGTTCTTGGTTTGGGCCAGGCCACTGATGTTTTTCCCATTAAAAGGCAGATCTAGTCAATATCAAACAGCTTCCACATCAGATCCCTTCTGCTTTTACCATGTCAAGTCTCTAACCCAACTATATGTTTATTATTTTAAGAGTCCTTGCTATTTCTGGATACCCATTAATGTCCAGGCACTAACTCTACCTTCCTCTGTGCTTCCCACTGGAGCTTCCTCTCCGCTACTCAGAGGTCACTTGGCCACCCTCCTGCTGGAGCTCTGGCCTTCTGTTATCAACCATAGCTAATCTAGCATGCCAGCAGGGCTTTCGGAGAAAAAGCAGCATCCCTCTGGACCTAGAGAGACCTTTGAAAGAGTTCACTTTCTCATCTCTTCCAGCTGAGTCCTGGACAT